TAACCCAAGGCGCTTTACATGTGGTTTACCGCGAAGCCGGTTTCAAGTGGCTCCATCTGAACGCTCCAAATCACATTGAAAGCGCCTCGATCCCAAACCACTTCTAGAGGTGGTTTCGAATCGGTTATCGCGATTTGCGTCTAAACGCAATGTGATTTCAATGTGACTTCACTTGGTCATGGATTACGGGGTGATATTTCTTCATTTATATGCAATACCAACTTTTACGTGGCAGCAACTTAAAGAGTAGTAATGGTCAAATAATGTGTCCATTCTAGGACGAGCTTCACCGCCTCTGGTGGGACCATGTCGGCATTCGGCCGAGATACGCTGGGAGGGGGGCACCAGCAAGCAGGTCGTTGACCTCTGACATTAATAACACGCTACCTTGCGAGTTTTCATCAAACAACAATAAATGTAGCTCAAGCAAATTGTGATCGGACACGGTTTCAAAGGAATGTGTGGCACATGGACCAGAGGAATGTGAGTTACTCGAATCGCGGTTTGGGTGACTTCACATAAACATGGCCTGAGTCTTTACACGCGGTACATACCACTTTCAAAGACACGTGTTCAATAATTGTCTGTGACGATTCTGTGACGTCTTATATGAAATAATTAAACGGCGTGTCAGTTATCTTTGTGGGCGGAGTTTCTCTGGACTTACTGAATGCCAAATGTTCAACATGGCGTTTGCACTGCTTTAAGAACTGTTTGCTAAGTTTCTTTGCTGGAGGTAGCATAATAGGATATGGATTTCAGTATTATTCCTTAAATCCGTGGAATAATCGCCGAAGTCACGTTCGCACTGCCTTTTTTAGATGTGTCACAGCTAGCAGCTTATAGAAATCACTGTTAGTCATAGATATAACGTTACATATACAATATATTAACCTTCGCCAAGAAAGTTGTTTTTGTTGCGCGCGTGTGAACACGATAAGGCCACACCAAGTAGATTTTATGGATGACGTCCTTTGGAGACCCTAAATCTAATGCGAGAGGGCGAAAAAAACAAGAAGGGCCCTAAAAAACAAGATGCCTAGATTAGAAATATACTAAGAGACGACAAATGTTAGGACACAAATTGAATGAGGTGACACAGTGTAACAAGCAAGAAGTCTTTTATTCATCATCAAAACAGCAATAAATCAGGTGAAACAGCAGTCCTGTCCTGTTTTCGCGTTACGGGTTTCACGTCAATCTGACGTTTTTTGGCACTGTCGTGACTCTTTCGTCATAGTTACAGGAAGCGGAATTTCTTGTTTTTTTTTTCTAGGAACAGGCCAAAATCAGTGCGCGCGCGGACGTCATCCATAAAATTTACTTGGTGTGGCCTAACTCACCAAAGCTAAGATGGATTGTCTTGATATTTAGTAGGTAGGTAGGTCTTCAAGAGACCTCAAAACGATTAGATTTTGGATCCCCTGGCGACTTTTTATGGTACTGAAGCTGAACTTCCGGTTGTAATATCTCGTGATCTGGACATGCTAGAGTCACGAATTTTGGATGGTAGGTTAAGTTCTTAATCTCCAAGCAGATCATGCGGTGACAATGCAGTATCCATTGGCTAGAGGGGTGTCTTTGGACGACTACTAATGGACACCCCTCTGGCCTATGGATACTGCCTTGCCACCGTATGATCTGCTTGGAGATTAAGTAGGCTGCTGGACCTCTTGGGCTAGGGAAGAAGTGACGTGAGTTTGTTCTGAAACTGCAGGAGCATTTATTAAATAAATGAGAAAAGGCAATTATTCCATATTGGTAACTGCAGGGAATTTCATACTTGTGGCATTTGGAAGTTAGGTGAAGGCGAACATCACTAAACATAACTTATTAAAATCAGCTCATTTGCATAATGTTTGGGAAATTCTAGAATAGCCGTCTTTCATAGGATAAGGTAGTGACTGGCGAGTATGATCAACTAGTATTGTAATGAGGATCTTGTGTTCATAACCAATGATAAACATTAATAATTCGTCAACATTCGTCACTGTTAACATCATTTGGCGAAGGTATGAGATCGTTGATCTCTAGTTTTTTATAAATAATTATAATTGTAATTAAGGCCATTCTGATTTGATAAATATATGGATGACATCCACGCGCACATGATTTTTTGCCCGTTTCCAAAAAAAAAAGAGCAATTTTTGACCATACTGTAAATCGTACAAAATGAACAAATATATGTCGTTTGTTGCAAAACAAAGTATTGGAAAACGATACTAATGTGATAGAATGCCGAAATTGATTCAAGAAAAGAAGAAATTGTGTAAAAAGAAGAAATAAAAATTAAGAGTCTTACTAATATTATTCACCATACCACACTCTGTGTGTTTAGTCATTTGTTCAAAGTTTATGACCATGGTAGATTTCATAATGAAAGAAACTTTTTTTTTATTTACACTCTCGCATCAGTTTTGGGGTTCCAAGAGGATGTCATCCATATATTGAAATCAACGTGGCCTAATTATAATAGTAATAACAATTTAAAAAGGTTTGTAATTATTTTTTATTACATTGAAAGTTCAGAAATTTAATGTATTCCATAAATAAAAAACCTTGAATAGGGTTAGGGTGTTCAATGTAATACAAACTGAAAGCACTCAACATTTTTAACTATATTAAGTTTTGTTTTTATTTGCACAAGTATCCCATTCAATATTCACACTTGTTTTTTGACATTCAAACACTATGAATATCAAATATACAGATGTCATTTGTGTTTTTTTTACAAATTCTAAAATATCCGTGCCATAAAATTAACAACTCATTATTGCAGAAACATTTCTGAATATGACGTGCAATTTGAATCATTATGATAGATATCTAAAATATTTACTATCTATATTTGCAATAAAGTTAATGTTACTTCATCTAAATTACTTTCCTATCATATTAAATATATTATTAATTCCTTTTGTTGCAATAGCTTTCTTAGTGTGTCTAAATTGCACATGTTTAAGGAGGATGGCATACATTGTACATGCAGGTACATGTACATTGGCCATCACATATGTTCAATATATCTTCATATATGCCCCTAAATATCTGGTTAAGAGACTGATACTGGCGATTTTTTTGCAAAGATAAGGCAGCACCAATTCAACTTGTTGGTTCTCGCTTTTGTCTGCTTCATTTTTTTCTTCTTTTACAAAAAAAAAACATGTAAAAAATTATTTTGCCCCCCCCCCCAAAAGAAGATCATCATAATTTGGCATCAACAGTTGAATGAGGTTCCTGTCTTCATTGCTATTACATTTTTTTTTTCAATTTTGCAGTGCAGTAAGTTGATTAAAAGTTCAAACTTCATTGTTTGGATAAATTATAAACCAGCCTGGTATGTTGAGTTTGTGACTCCCATGATGGTAGCATTTTAGGATATCAAGATGCTTAGAATTTTTGGGTTGCAAACTTGATTAAAATCCTGCAAAAATTAGAGAACAAAGAAATCAAATTGCATCAGCCAAACACACTCATTCAATTTTGTGCTTTCCAAAATATAAACTTTTTTAAAATGACAAAAAAGTTTATTTATTATCAGATTTTTGCAACTAAAGCCATCTAGTGCAATTTCATGGTGGCAAAAAAAATTCTAGTTGAGGAAATCTGTCTGATATTAAACATTTATTGCGAGTCTTGGCACATTTTTGACACCATTTCATTTAAATACCCCCCTCCCCCTTTAGTTTTTGGGTACCGATTTCCATTGTCTACATCACATTTTTGACTCACAGATATCAGTAAGCTACTGGATATATTTGATTCAACTTCTTACAATTAAAATGAACCAAAAAATTGACTAGCATGAAAGTTCATCTAAGTTGGTAAATTACATTATGAAAAACTTAAACTGTTCTTCAACTCAAAATTTGACTCACCAGAAATTTTCGACTGAATCACTCAGTCTTCCTCAGCTATCTGACCCAAATGCTGTGGACACGTGATTTTTCCCACGTGTGACGTCAGCAAAGGGTCAAAGGTTGTCTGAAGTCGCTATCGCCCCCCGTCCCGATTGAGCGATGGTTGAAGTGCCCTGATGTATATGGCCTCTTTTATGCCTCTCTTGAAGTAATCCTGTTCGGTATCCAAGATTCTGACCCCCTCCAAATCCACTGTGTGTCCCGGTGATTCTACAGTATGTGGATGTGCTGTGACACCTCAAATGCAACAGAACTGGGTCGTCTATGTTCTAGAAACCTGGTTTTTAGTGAGCGCTCAGTTTCCCCGATATAAGTTTCCCGACAGGGGCCTCTGTTAGTGTTTCCCTGGCAACTTATGTGGTAGATAACCCCACATTTGTCTTCCTTGGGAGTTTTGTCCTTAGGTGCCACAAGGAGTTGTCTTAACGTACGATGAGGTCTGAAACAGGTACTCACTCCGTGTGCAGCAAAGATTCTACGTAGGGGCTCAGAAACACCCTTTACGTATGGGAGGACTACAAGTGTTTTTCTGTTTTTCCCTCCCGTTCCCTGACTATCTTGGGGTTTAGACCGGGGCTGTCTGGGCTCGGAGGCTTTCCTAATGAGCCACTGAGGGTAGCCACACTTCTTTAGGGCTTCTGTAACGTGCTCGATCTCGCTACTTCTATCCGCAGGATCACTGATGATGGTATTAGCTCTATGTAAAAGGGTCTTGATCACACCCAACTTGTGGTCCAAAGGGTGGTTTGAGAAAAAATTTAGATATTGGTCCGTGTGTGTCGCCTTACGGTATATGCTAACCCGCTGGGACCTATCCTGGTTGATAGTTGTTATGAGTGTCTAGAAAGGGCAGTGCACCATCTTCTTCTTGTTTCTCTCAGGGCACTTCAACCATCGCTCAACCGGGACGGGGGGCGATATCGACTTCAGACAACCTGTGACCCTTTGCTGACGTCACACGTGGGAAAAATCACATGTCCACAGCATTTGGGTCAGATAGCTGAGGAAGACTGAGTGATTCAGTCGAAAATTTCTGGTGAGTCAAATTTTGAGTTGAAGAACAGTTTAAGTTTTTCATTAAAAAATTGACTGGTTTTGCCACCCTGAAATCACATTGGATGCCTATGATAATCCAAGAGGGGTAAGTTCTTGAGAAGTTTTAGGAGTGGGATGATTTTGGAGAAGTCATGATTTTGATGACGTTGTTGGATGGACCGATGATTTCATCTTTCCTGACAACACGTCTGTCTCCATTGATTTCTCTGGCCTGCAGGAAGACAATAAAAGATAAAACAATTAATGTTTAGTACTAAAAAATGTTTAGTGCTCAATAAAAACAAATGTATACATATACAAATACATATACAAATACATGTGCGGGACTTTCAAATTTCAAAAGCAAATAATATACAAAGGCTGTGCAATAATATTAATATAACTTAGAGTTCGAGGATCTCATACCTTCGCCAAATAATGTTAATCTTTATGACTAACAAATTATTGATCATTCTGAACCAAGTCTTGAGATACATTTTAGTACGAGGCTTCAGAGTTGGTAGCAATACTACATGTATCCAATTGTACCTCAGCTCGGACAAATGTTCCCTTCAGCAGCTCCAGAGCATGTACCAACACAGTATGGAGGTGGCCCACTGTGGTACCTGGTCTCAGAACCATGCAGTCCTGAAAAAAGTAAAAGGTAGAGGTAGTCAATGGTACTCACCACCACCAGGGTGTACAATGGGTCCCTGACTTTGGTTAGGGAGGTATAAAAAGGCAGTAGAAGAAGAGGATGGGCTCTGCCTTCCAATTATATGTGCCTTAGACAAGATTCCTACTTTGTATAATGAGACCAAATGCCCACTTCAACTGTTCAGGGCAAAATATGATCATTTTGCATGCAGTTGATTCTGAATTTTTCTTTTTTTTGCAAATCAGAAGAAAATGAAGAGGGCAAATCCGCTATTAAACCAAGAAATTAAATTGGTGTGGCCTAAGGCTGGATCTTTCTTGTACCTTAAGCACTCCAGGTGCCTCTCCCTTTTGCCTGTGATCCAGCGACATGAGTGTGTCCAGGTCTTGTACAGGGAATGCAAAGATGGGTGACTTCAGGGACACAGCAAGGTTCAGCGCATTGTGGACATTGGTAGAACCGTGCCTACAGTGTTGTGCAGTAACACACACTACATGTAAGTTATGTAAGTTATGTATATTCTAAGTAAATATAATATGGGCTACGATAGAGAGAGAGAGAGATTGAAGTAAATTTGATATGAAACAATTGTCAACAAGTTATACAATGTTACTATTTATTTACATGCATGTATCATGATCATGTTTCCATTAATTTGGTAACTGCATATGTTGTAAAACAGTTTGTGAAATTTGCCAGTAAAAATTATGATAAGTTGCACCTATTTGATTGTTTAACATAATTAGAACACAATGTCAGTGTTCTTGTTCCAGCTAAATATCAAATCATAAATACTTTACAAGACTTTAATCACTAGACTCAAGTGAAAATGAGTATTGTCTGTCCAGTATTCGTTTCTATGTTCGGGACCCAACACCATCAATACATGTAGCTGCCTCTGTTCCGCATGTATTGCACTGTTCCAATTTCAATGAATTAAATCAAATCAAATCCCACTAAAAGTTACAAAATGCAAATACATGTAATACAGTATTAACCAAATTAAGAAAGTGAAGCAGTGGGCTTACTTAGAGAGTACACTGTTCTGTATCCTGTCCAGTTCCTCAGTGTCTGTAGAGGACAGGGGCTTAAGGGTTGTGTCATCGGACATGAAGGAGGGTTCCCCGTAACGGTAGTGCAGGGAGCCAGTCTTCTGTAACTCCTGCAGTTTACATTCACTCTGGGCACTCATGGCCATCACAGCTGCATTTGGGTAGGCCTCCTGTATCCTAGAAAAAAGGTATTCCACACTGTAAAACATTAAACTTTATTCCAACACACAGTTTACAAAGATCAGATTTTAAGAGACCACTGTCGCCTTCATCAGGATAATTAATGACCAATCACTTCACAACGTGATCTCGTGAGAGTTACGGTTACAAACACGTGACCTTATTCACATGAGACTTTACTGATACGTGATGTAAGCAATTGATCAAAAGTGTCAGGGAGTTTATATCGTCCAGACGTCCACCATCTCTATTAAGTAACAGTGGTCGCTGAAAATTTGATCTCTGTAACTGTGTGTTGGAATAAAGTTTAACGTTTTACTATGATTACTACCAAGTTGAACACAGATGAACTTTCATGATAATCTGGTATTCCACATTGTGTAATTTACTGTCAAGTCCCTGGCACACATAGCCTAATTACATGTATGTACGAAGGAAAACATATTGTTTTTGCTACATTTCCTCTTCTTCTTCCTTTCCAAACACTGACCTCTGACCTGGCCAATGACCTGACTTGTTGACATCTCTCACCATGGTAACTGGTGTTGGGTTACATAGTGTTGCAATTTTATAGTAGGAGGGATTTATACTCCTGTCTGACCATATATATATGAATGTATTTCAGTAAGAATCAATAGAGCAGACCATACGCGAAGGTAAACATACGCGAAGGTAAACATTATGCATTTGCTTTGCAACCTTACAACCGACGACCTCATCCAAGTCTACACGTCGTACGTACGCCCTGTTGTGGAATATTGCGCGCCTGTCTGGCACTCGGGACTGACATCATCACAAACTGTACGTCTGGAGAGGATCCAGAAAAGAGCTCTGCGAACCATCCTCGGGGAACGTTACATCAACTATGAAACCGCCCTGCAGAACACGAACCTACAGACACTTGAACAAAGAAGAACGGACCTGTGCCTTAAGTTCGCAAAGAAGATGGACCCTGCAATGCTCCCCCCAAGAGCCTCAGACATTCACAACAAAGCCACTAGAAACTCGAACTTGATAAGGACAATCAGATGTAGAACTGACCGTTACAAAGACTCACCTATCCCCTACTTCGTCAGACTCCTAAACATGCAAAACTGATGATGAACTTTGTGAATTATTATGAAAATTTGTGTACCATTTTAGAAATTGTATGACCTAGTTCCAATCTCAGAAGTTACGACTTTGTGTGAAGGACTGTTTGAGTCGACCCATATATTTTCAAACATAACGCTAATTTTATTTCTACGTAGTGCCTTAAATTACCTTTTTTACCTAGCTAAGTCGACGACGCATCTCTTAAATGTTTTTAAATTGTGGAGATTTAAAATCAAGACCGGCACTGACTGTGAAAAATAAGGCTTGAATGAAATTTTACAATGTTAACGTATTAATACTGGTCTTTTTCTTTTATAATGAATTGTACATCTGTAATAGAATCAGCAATTCAGCCATGTGGCTGCCAGTGATTTTAAATTTGAATAAAACCATTCATTCATTCATTCATTCAACCTTAATTTTCTAGTAATAATGATAGCTTCTTGAACACTGCAGAACTTACCCCAGCCATGGTTTAATATGACTTAACAGTAGGTTAGGAGTAAGGTCAGCTGTGCCAGCCAAATGTATGGCAAGTGGTTGGCTGGTGTTCATCAGTAGTCCATCCGTGTTTGAGGCATGTTCGAGGGTCAAATTTAACTCAAATTGGATTTTATTCTTACAGAAAGCTAGGCATGGCCCAATCTTTAGACAAACTTGATTTGTTGGTGTTTGGGGGACAGTTCTGAATGTGACAGGGGTTTGACTAGCTGATTGTTTCAACTGATGCAACATGCATGAAGGATAGACCCTATAGAGCTAAAATGAGCTAGTGGGGTCATGTGGCGCAGTCGGTAGCGCGTTCGGCTCACACCCCAGAGGTCGTGGGTTCAAACCCTGCCCATGTCACTGCTCTTGTGCCTTTTGGAAAGGCACTTAACACGACTTTCCTCACTTCACTCACAGGTGGAAATGAGTACCTAGCTTCGGTTAGGGACGTCCCTCGGATAGGACTTTAAATGGAGGTCCCGTGTTTGGGAGAGCCATACCCCATGCACGTTAAAGAACCCACCGCACTTATCAAAAAGAGTAGGGGATCTTCCTAGTGTGAGTGGTTCAAAACCGAACAGTCCGGTCTTACGCAGCTTGTACATGTACATGTAAGCACATGTACAAAACTGGTGTGTTACGCCTAAAGGCGGTTTACCAGTTATGCGAAACAAACAAAAAACAAACAAACAAAAAAAGAGATGGATCCCAGGCTATCTGACTTCCTGAAATGCACACCTGCACACACCTGTGTATGTTGTTGTCTGCCTGGGGCAGGTCAGACTTGTTCAGCCCCAGCACCATGGGGAAACGGAGCCGGATAAACTCAGTCACCAGTCTGTGGACAACACCAACATCCCATCCAGGCAGGGTCTCAACCAGCTTCCTAGTAGAAAAAAAAAAAAAGATTGAGTTGCTTTTTTCGTCACAGAGGCCATGCATGAAGGGTTTGTTTTAATTGTGACTGTTAGTGTGCTTGACATTATTCTACAGCTGTAGTGATTTCCACATGTTTCGTAAATGAATGAACTTTATTGCTCAACAATCGTACAAGGTACAATGTATGGCAGTAATACAACCGTTACAATACTACAAAACTTTACTTACTACAAACTACTATCTAATATTAGTATACAGTATTTGAGTTACCATATGATCATGTATTGATGATATGTTCTCGCTTATGGAATAAAGTGTACAAAAATTGGCCTACGTAAGCAGATATGGTAGTTGGACATGACAATAATTCATGGAATGTATCGTACTGTGTACCAGATTGGGTAAACTTTGTCTTAGTAGTAAGTCTGTAACAATGTATCTCTTTCTTTTCTATAGGTGGGACAAGTCATAACAAAGTGAAATTCATCTTCAATACTCTCATTACAAGTGGGACACAGCCTCTAAATTGACAGGAGAAAAGTTAAGCCCCGTCACTGCCGAACTCCCCCTCTCAGTGGTGATTGCCTGATGTTTGGCAAGGTCAGCTATATTTTTTGGAGCGCATCAGCAGAATGGACTGCGCCTGTGCAGAACCCTGTATTTTCGTGTTTTTCGTTAGGTTTTTGGTCAACGTTGCATCAGAATTTTGCCTGTTGCAGAGGATATTTTTTCTGACACAACATTTGGAAACTACTGTCGAAATGCTAAACTTACATGAGCGAATACAACCTTATATGAGACATTCTGCCGAAACGCTATGGACAATACATGATGGGTTTCGCGCAGGTGCAGTACGTTCTGCCGACGTTTTATTTTTTGGCTGCGACAAACTGAAACACTTTGGCATGGCTGGTGGTTGGCTGGTGTGTAGTAGGTAATCAGACTGAGTTGTCGGAGAATGGTTGGCAGCCAATTAAACTCAAATTTGACTCAAATTCAATTTGGTACATACCAAACGCTGGGTGTGTCATAACAAAATGGGCTGGTACCTTGGGTGATACCGGCTACACCATGTAGTAATCTCTGTACCTTGTATCAATGCCAGCTGCAGTGAAGGCTGCTTGGATGACAGATCTAGAGGCGTGGTACCCAGTAAACATGTCCAGCAGCTTCAGAGGCCTCTTCACTATCGCCTCCCACTTGGTCATGATGTTGTCATAGATCCAGCGACTATGTAATAATAAATATTAATAATAATAATAAATGGTTTTTATTGTCCAAACAGTACCCGTGCAGTCGCAGCCTTTATACGGCTGAATTGATGCAGGGTATCACATAATATCTATCAATACAAATCACAACAATCAAATAATACATGACACACGTATTTGTTCCACAAATGTTTTTGTGGAACTGACGCAAGGGTCTGTGCGGCTGCCATTCGGCGCCACAAGGTGAGCTCAATACGACTTTCCCCAACCGAAGTTAGGTACCCATTCACACCTGGGTGGAGTGAGGAAATTCGTGTAAAGTGCCTTTCCCAAGGGCACAACGTCAGGGCGCATGTCCAGACATGTCCCGGGTACAACTTGGAATCGAACCTGGGTCTACCCGCTTCATAGTCGAATGCTCTAACCACTACACCACCCGACGCAGGCACAACACAATCATGTCAAACATTCAGATGAAAGCCGATCTGTGTTTGGTAGAATCCATAACTATTTGTAAAGTTTAAGCTTTGTTCCCACACAAGAAGGAGACTCTTCATGAATTTTCGGTTGGTCTCATCACACCATGTAAGATGCACTCGGTGGCAGTAAAAATTACTATAGAAATGAATGGTACATAAAGTTGCCAATCCTGTAAAAGATTTTTAAAATGCAGTTACTAATTTAAAAAAGATGTCATAATCAAGAAGTTTCTTTATGTACTGTTTGGTAAGAAGAAAATTTGATACTGCTATGATTTTAACATGCTATGAAGTTCAACATATATAAGCCAATGGGATTTACTTTTCAGCACCAAGGACAAGACCAGAGGTGGAAACTTTGTTATTGCATAGTCTATAGAATAAGTAAATACTAATGTTAAAGATAAACCTACAATGTATATCTTTCGGCCACACCAATTTAATTTGTTGTTTCTCGGATTCGCCTGTCCATTTTTTTCTGATTTGCAGAAAAAAAAAAGTTGTTAGGTTCTAAATCAACTGCAAAATGCTCAATGAAAGACATATTTTGGCCCAAACGGTTGAAGAAAGTCCTTTTCTTCCTAGTTGTTAAAGTTTTGCAATGTAACACTTTGTTTCATTAGAAATTCAAAATCTATTATTTAATTATAAAACAACCTGGTATGTTGACTTCATGGCTCATATTGTAACATTTCCGGCTATCATGGGGTGCCTTGGCCTGAGTGTTTTTTTTTTCGCCCTGTCGCTTCATATTTTTTTCAGAAAAAATCTGAGAAACAGGTTCCTACAATTTACAATTTTGACTCAGCGGGAACATCACATATACACAGCCAACATCACATATCACTGCATCAAGGTAAGAAACAAAACATTAAATCAGAGCCTTTTCTTGTCTCCTCTCTTCATAGTTATCTGTCATCCACCTTCCGGCATGGTAAGGCCATGTTGATTTGATTATATGGATGACATCCACGCGCGCATGAATTTTCGGCCGTTTCCAAAAAAAAAAAGTTTTCAACCATACTGTAAATCGTACAAAACAGTTGCAAAATGAGCAAAAATATACCATAAGTTACAAAAATAAATTAATAAAAACTATACCAATGTCGTAGAATGCCAAAATCAAACGAAAAATGACGAAATTGTAAAGAAATAAACTTGAACACTAGATTATTCGCCAAACCATATTCTGTCCCATTTGCTCAACCCTCATGACCACGTAGATTTCATAATGAAAAGAACTTTTTTTTTTTGCAAAACTTTTTTTTTATTCGCACGCTCGCATCAGTTTTTGGGCTCCCGGAGGATGTCATCCATATAATCAAATCAACATGGCCTAACAGACATCTTTACCCATTTTCGGCATGTTGACCACTGTCAGAAGGCAACAAAATCTCTTGTTTTTTTTTTTGTTTTTTTAATCAGGCGAAAATTAATATATAATGCGCTGATGTCATCCATAAAAATTACTTGCTGTGGATTAAGGACTTGGATCCTTTGATACCATTTCTAATGTTACAACATTGATGGACAGGTCTATATTTTGAAAAATTAGGCGTCCTCTTTTCTGTTTTGGAGGGGATGTCATTCATAAAATTTCTTTACTGTGGCCTCAAAAACAATCTACATGTAGGCACTAGTAGGACTTACTGTATTTCCAGGTTGAGCCACCTGACATCATTAGTTGGATCGTACCCTGTTGTCTCCTCTCCATTCTCATCCGTCTGTCCCGATACATCAATGATGTGTATTAGAACATCAGATTCTGCATCCAGCAAGTCATTCAAGAACCTGGCAGGGGACAGATACATGTAAGCAATCGTCATCAATTGCAATTTTAAAGTCACACACACACACACAGCACGTCAGCAGAACGTACTGCACAAAACCGTAGTGTATTGTGCATAGCATGTAGCCAGAATGTCTCATAAAAGGTTGTCAATAAGGTATATATATATAAGGTTAACAGATATGCTGTCAGGACTGCAACAGCCAAAATTCTAATGCAACAGTGACCAAACGTCCAACGAAAACCATGAAAAATCAGGATTTCTTGCAGATGCAGTACGTTCTGCTGACGTGCTCACACACACACACGCTCTGACCAACAAACGACTGAGTGTAGACTTCTGACCAAATTTCTTTGACCTGAATAGAGGTGGACTCTGAGATTGGACAATGATTTGTGCTTGTATGCTTGGTTTCTTATTTCTTATTTGATGTATTACAGTAACTAAATATTTACTAGTTGTTTTTGATTTTGAACCCAAATACCAATTTTCATTCACACATGCACCAGATTTCCAGCACTCAGGCCACACCAATTTAATTCCTTGGTTAACGGATTCGCCGCTTCATTTTTTTCTGATTTGCAAATAAAAATAAAAATTCAGAATCAGCTGCAAAATGCTCATATTTTGCCCTGAACAGTTGAAAACAGTCCTTTTCTTACTACTTGTTACAGTCATTCCATCTTTCAATGCAGTGGTATCATTACAAGTTAAAAATTCATTGTTTAAATTTTGAACCAGCCTGGTGTGTTGACTTCATGGCTCCTATCGTACCATTTTGGGCCATAATAGGATGCCTAGGCCTGTTTTTATTTTTATTTTATTTTCGCCCGCCCGCTCCTTTATTTTTCTAGAAAAATCTGTTAACCAAGAAATTAAATATAAACACATTAAATTTTATTAAATCCGTTAACCAAGAAATTAAATATAAACACATTAAATTTTGTACTTGTGCAAATGTACCTGTTTCCTCTCCCTTTGCCATCGGCTGCCCCAGGAACTAACCCAGCAACGTCTTTCAACAGTACAGGTAACAGTCGTTCTCCTCTGTAGTTGTGGCCATAGCCTGGAGGAGGAGGCAACAATATTTCAACAGGAATATGCATTCATTCTATAGAGATTAGTTCCTCTGAAACATGAAAACACTCACTGCTACATAGTGCTGCATACCGGTTCACTGGACTTGGATCCGGACTTGTAAGAATGTTTAGGTTCAAGTCCAAAAAAAGTCAAGAACCGAGTCCGGACTTATTAAAGACCATTTCACATACCCCTTTTCTTTCCAAACCACCTACAATGTAAAACCCTCCGTAGATTGCAAAATCTATGCTGCAAAATGAACAAAACATTGCCATCGAGCATCGTCAAGTACCGACCTCCATGTTATGTTATGTTAAGTTTCACCCAGACAACATTGCAATGTTACCAACATGCAATTTTGTATATGCCATGGGTTTAGGTCCAGACTTACAAGTCTGGAACTGAACCTAAACCTGAGACTGGACTTGAATCCGGACCTGAACCTAAATGTGGGTTTAGGTATGCACCACTACTGCTACAATGTACACTTTGTACAATCACATACTCAGAGACTGTGTCCCACATGTAATGAGAGTATTGTACTGAATTTCACTTTGTTATGACTTGTCCCACCTATAGAAAAGAGATACATTGTTACAGACCAATTTACTACAAAGTTCACCCAATCTGGTACACAGTATGATACATTCCATGAATTATTGTCATGTCCAACTACCATATCTGCTTACGTAGGCCAATTTCTGTACACTTTATTCCATACGCAAGAACATTAATCAATACATGACCATATGGTAACTCATATACTGTTTAGATAGTAGTTTGTAGTAAGAAATGTAATGAGATAGTTTAGTTTAAAAATTTGTAGTATTGTTGTATTGTTGTATTGTTGCAATTTATTATGATTAAGTTGTCCTGGTGTTAATTGAGTTAGCCCAAACAAATCCGAACAGCCAATCAGCAAGCTAAGGAGAATAGAGGAAAGCTGCATGCCTATTGGTTGCCTGCTCTACATGTACATGTACATGCCATTCTGATGACATCTGTACTATATTTGGATTCAATGATGAAAAAATGTTACCTGTACTACATTGCTGGTCCATCTTAATTGAGTTAACACAATCAAATCCGGACAGCCAATCAGCAAGGAGAATAGAGGAATGCTGCATGCCTATTGGTTGCCTGTTCTACATGCCATTCTGATGACATCTGTACTATATTTGGATTTAATGATGAAAAAAATGTTACCTGCACTACATTGCTGGTCCATCTTGGCACAAGGACATGGCACACTGAAATAGGCCGTGCCAAAGTTGGGCTCTATGGTAGTGAAGGGGTGGGCAGCAGTCTTGGCCTGGTTCTGGGCCATAGCTGCGTTAAAAAAGGTGGACTTCCCAGCAGAGGGTTTACCCTACAGAAATAATGCAGCAAGAGTTGGGTAGACACTTTTATAATTACATGTTAACTGGCAAGACTGTTTATTGAAATATAGACTTTGCTTTTATTAATAGTTCAGTTACGTTGCCCAAAAAGCAACACCAAAATCTTTGAAACATACAAGGATTGTACTACAATACCAAATGATTACATATATAAATTGCACAATTATGTATCATGCAAATGCCGCGAAGACAAAGAAGACTCAGGAGCTAAAAACAGAATTAGTAATAACCAAGCTTCAGAGGCCCCATCCAAATTACTGTAACAGTGAAAATACAGTCATGTAGATCTCTTATGTTTCATGTACGTCATTACCAAAGAGATAAAAAAAACTCTGACTAATTCCTGATTTTTTTAGAGTCACTTCAGTCTGAACTGTGTAGTACTATAAATTAACCACTACTGTTATCAGATCACTTGCTGACACCAAATTTTTTCTAACTTGTGCGGGTCCCTGGGTCTTTATGACAGAGAATTCGAAGCAAAATGTGGTCTATACATGTAAGTATAACCCTAAAAAATCTGGCATCTGATTGCAAGCTAGAATATTGAATAGCAAAAATCTTTTTATCACAACCATTTATTTTTCAAGCCAACGTTTCGATGACCTTCTGTCGTCTTCATCAGGGCAATTCTCTGGCTTGAAAAATAAATGGTTGTGATAAAAAGAACTTTGCTATTCAGTCGTTTACCAACCTGATGAAATTATTTACGGAAGCTAGAATATTGTATGACTTCTTAAGTGACAACAGTTAAAGTGTTACTTTTGGTATGTGTGAGAAAGTTGACCCCCTACCACTAGTCCAATCACAAAGTTCCAGCGGCCTCCAGTGTTTCTGACTTCGGTGAGCTCCGCTGGTGAGGACAGCAAGTCTAAGACATCGGACGGTTCTTCTTCTGTCTGGTCCTAACATTGAGAACAAGACATCAGGGATTTCAGTAGTGCTGTGTAACATCTGTGTCCATAATATCAACAGGGTCCATATCACCACCTTGAGAACAAGACTTTTGAAAAAAGTTTATCTCGGCCGCTGGCCATGTAGTTTTGTGTTCTTGGAGGATGTCCACATAGATTTGTGTAACTGCTAGAGAGGAAAGAATGTATTACCTAGTATGTTCATACCTGTAACACCAAACAGGGTAATAAGTTGGCTTCCATTATCATTTGCTTCAATGGAATTAGTGAAAAATATTAATCTCGAAGCAGATGTTGGGAGGGAAAATGTTTAGGTAGAGATACAGATTTTCATTTGTGATTGAAGATTTGAGAGACAGGAAAGAGTTTAGGATATGTATGTGGAGCTAATTTCTCTGTTAGAGTAGGTTACACAGCTCTATGTATGGGGAAGACATTTTTTGGAATCAGTAGTGTCATGTTGTATATTACAGAGGAACTATGTTTCATCTGTATGTTTCATTGAAATTGTAATGTCTGGACAATACTGATGAATAAAGAGCAAAGATGCATGTGTCAAAAGTGAAATGTTTTATTTTGGTATAACTTCATGAGACAACACAAAATGGAGTGGCTACAATAACAGAGCTGTCAAACGTTATCAAGCTTAATGCACTAACATATTGTTAGGTTGTACGAATTCATAAATTTTCACGGGGGGGGAGGGGGGCGATAACGTAACTCTGTTTAAATCTGTTCAACAGCACGAATAAAACACAATGTAATTGATTGCCCTTGCCCGTAGTATCTTTAGCTCCATTTTTATCCTATGGCTCTATGCCTAATACCCTTATAATTCCTGATATTTTGCTATTTTTGCTAAGTAAATACCTAAGCAGCCTCATGCGTTACATCCGGGATCTTCGATATGGGAAATTCCATTCAGGCCACTAATCAAAAGCGACATCTTGCGACCGAGGAATATAGTGCACTTCCATAACCTTCGTCTTGACTTATTCAGATGTCTCAAGGTAATATTAAAACGTAATTTTTTAAACTTGGTTTATTGGTGCAATTGCAGCAGTTATTACCAAATCTTTATAACATTTAATGCATACTACTCTCATGTCCCTAATAAACATACCCCCCGGAATAAACATACCCCCCGGACAAATCTTCAAAGTCTAATATACATACCCTCCGGAATAAACGTACCCCCCGGAAAATGACCAAATTGACAGGTGAACGGTACTGAAATGTGCTCTTTATTTCAATACCAATGTATGGGCAAATCTTTCACTGTTACTTTTGATTAGGAATATAAATATACTGTACTAGTACTCAACAAACAGTGTCGACATTACAGCCATATTACACCACTAGCAATAGGGGTGGGTACCTGTTCGGCTCTTCCAGGTCCAGAGGATCAGGTCCAGGTCCGGACCTGTACCTGTACCTGATTCTGAATACCGGAGTTTCAGTACCGAATTTTTTTGCTAAATGATCATTGCTAAATACAATATAACGTTAAGTATATGTAACCACTACAATGATTTTCATTTTATTTTATTTTTTTATTTTTATGGGTTCACCACACCACGAAGTGGTGTGGTGAAACCATATTGCTTTTTCTGATGTTTCTTCTCCTCCTTCTCCTTCTCCTTCTCCTGCCATTTTTTAAAATGGATTCAGCTTCTTCATTTTAGGGCCTAAGGTCCTGAAATTTGGTATGGAGGTACAGTGGGCAAATACCCCTAGGCGTTTTTTAAATTATTGTGATACAGGCTTTTAGAATGGTTTTATTTGAGTTTTTTGGCTGTATTATAGCTAATGTATTACTGTGTTAGTGTGCCATGTTTACCACGTCTGGGCATGAGTCATCACAATGGAATGCAGGGCATCAACCAATAGGCATGCAGCTTTCCTCTATACTTCTTGCTGATTGGCTGTTGGAATTTAACTTGATTAACACCTGCACACTGAGCATTT